AAAAAAAAAAAAAGAAAAAAGAAAATACTTAAGCTGAAATTTAACTTATTCTAGTGCCACAGAAAGAATTCTAAGTTATGGAATATTAAAAAACTGAGTTAAATTTTGTAAAGGCCCTCAAATATACATTTTATAGGAAGTTACAGGAATTATCTGTACTTGTGACAGTGACTAAATTGGGAGCAACTCTGTAAAGACCAACTATGAATGTTGGGAGTAGTCTGCCATTTAGTGAATAACATACTTATTTCTTTGTTTTTATTTATTTTTTTTTTTTGAGACTCAGTCTCATTATGTCACCCTTGGTAGATTGCCTTGGCATCACAGATCACAGCAACCTCAAACTTGTGGGCTCTGGTGGTGCCTGTAGCTCAAGCGTCTAAGGCACCAGCCACATGCACCAGAGCTGATGGCTTTGAATCCAGCCCATGCCTGCCAAATAATGACAACTACAACCAAAAAATAGCTGGGTTGTGGCAGGCACCTGTAGTCCCAGGTACTGAGGCAAGAGAATTGCTTAAGCCCAGGAGTTTGAGGTTGCTGTGAACTGGGATGTCACCACCGTTTACCCAGGGTGGTAGCTTGAGGCTCTTTCTCAAAAAAACAACTCTTCGGCTTAAGCAATTCTCTTGCCTTGGTACCTGGGACTACAGGCACCCTCACAACGCCTGGCTATTTTGTTGTTGTCGTTGTCACTGTTGTTTGGCAGGCCCAGGCTGCGTTCGAACCCACCAGCCCTGGTGTCTGTGGCTGGCACTCTAGCCGCTGAGCAACAGGTGCTGAGCCAACGTATCTATTCTAAAAATTGTTATTTTCAACCAGTGCCTTCTCACGTAGTAGAAGTTTTTATCTGAGGGGCGATTTGTATGGAAACTATAATAAAGATATGTTGATTTTCATTACACAAATTATTTGAAAATTGTTTGATTATTTTATGTGATTGTCAACAAAACAGCACTGCAGATAGCATATGGCACAAGTGTTTTACTTGATCCTTTTACTTAAAATCAATTTTTTGTCATTTTAGTCATCAAATTGTATATACTCTAGATAACAGCAACCTAATAGTTCCCATAAGCTCCACAGATTTATACTTTTTAGGAGGCCTGCTCAAGGAGCTAGGGCCTCTGTTTTTGGAGCTGAGAGACATGCACATGCAGCTGAAGGACATCTTGGGATATATGGGGGACAGTTACATTCAAGGACTGGTGGTGTGTAGACTGAGCCCTTGTGCCCTCTTGGAGGACTTGGAAAGAATATCTGAGAAACCAGCCAGGGAGATGGAGCTGGGGGAACCCAGGAGAACACATTCCAGGGGTGGATGCTACTGCTCAGCTGCATTTTTGTTCCTGCCTCCCATTACCCACTCTGGTGCCTTTTCTCTGTGTCCCTGCTTGCCCTTAGCCTCCTGGCTGTTTCCCAGAAGAGTTGGATGCACCTGACCTGTGTGGGGTCAGGCTGTGTGGGTCAGTGGTGGGACCACCTTTCAGAAGGCACCACCTGGCAGTGGGCAGTGGTGAGTCCTTGAGTCCTGGGAAGTTGCCCCCTCCACAGCTTGCTGGGCTGACTTTTTCTGTGTAGATCATGAATTCTAAACAATTCCTGGAATTGAAAATCAGCTGTTGAAGTTAAAATGCAAGTCTGTTTCATGGAACCACCACTCAGTGGACATATCTTACAATAGCTCTCCAGTGTGTCTCTCTCACGCCTGTGTTTCTTTTGTAACTTCTTCCTTTGCTGATAAAGAAAAGGTTCCTGCTCTCACCAGTGCAGTTGCTGTGGGGGATTGTGGGATCCTCCGTCCTGCTCTCTGGGAGAGAGCTACCTCTCCTTCTCTCTCTCCCTTTCTCTAAGAGTTGTCTGTTGGTTCTCAGCTTGAAGAAGATTCTATAGTCCTTATTGATCCTTTTTCTTGGCGTTACCATTTTTTGAAGCAAAGATAACCTAGCTTTCTAGTTTGAGCTTTCTTTTTGGCCATCTTTAAAACAATCTTTTTTAATCTGTAAAATAGACAAGAGATAGTTCCACAACGTCCAAGTCATTCCAGCAGTCATCTCTCGGTAGGGACTCACAGGGTCATGGGCATGATCTGTGTACGGCAGGAATAGGCCTTCTTGCTGCTGCTACCCAGTCTTTAAATATGCCAGCATCTCTTGGAAGGATGAACCAGAGTACTGCACACCTTGCTAGTTTAATGAATCTTGAAATGAGTTCTTCATTGAATCAACAAGGAGTTCATAGTGCACTGTCTTCTGCTAGTACTTCTTCCCATATTTAACATTGGAAGTAGAGGTTCACTCCCTTTATCTTCTCAACACCGTGGAGATGTAGACCAAGCCAGTAACATTTTGGCCAGCTTTGGTCTGTCTGCTAGAGACTTAGATGAACTGAGTTGTTATCCAGAGGACAAGATTACTCCTGAGAATTTGCCCCAGATCCTTCTACAGCGTAAAAGGAGGAGAACTGAAGAAGGCCCTACATTGAGTTATGGTAGAGATGGCAGATCTGCTACATGGAGCCACCATACAGAGTACCTAGGGATGACTGGGAAGAAAAAAGTCACTTTAGAAGAGATAGTTTTGATGATCATGGTCCTAGTCTCAACCCAGTGCTTGATTATGACCATGGAAGTCATTCTCAAGAATCTGGTTATTATGACAGAATGGATTATGAAGATGACAGATTAAGAGATGGAGAAAGGTTTAAGGATGATTCTTTTTTTGGTGAGACCTCGCATAACTATCATAAATTTGACAGTGAGTATGAGAGAATGGGACATGGTCCTGGCCCCTTACAAGAGAGATCTCTCTTTGAGAAAAAGAGGGGTGCTCCTCCAAGTAGCAATATTGAAGACTTCCATGGACTCTTACCGAAGGGTTATCCCCATCTGTGCTCTATATGTGATTTGCCAGTTCATTCTAATAAGGAGTGGAGTCAACATATCAATGGAGCAATTCACAGTCGTCGATGCCAGCTTCTTCTTGAAATCTATCCAGAATAGAATCCTGACAATGATACAGGACACACAATGGGTGATCCCTTCATGTTGCAGCAGTCCACAAACCCAGGGCCAGGAATTCTGGGACCTCCACCTCCCTCATTCCATCTTGGGCGACCAGCAGTTGGACCAAGAGGAAATCTGGTTACTGGAAATGGGAACCTGCAAGGACCTAGACACATGCAGAAAGGCAGAGTAGAAACTAGCCGAGTTGTTCACATCATGGATTTTCAATGAGGGAAAAACTTGAGATACCAACTATTACAGCTTGTGGAACCATCTGAAGTCATTTCAAATCATCTGATTCTAAATAAAATTAATGAGGCTTTTATTGAAATGGCAACTACAGAGGATGCTCAGGCTGCAGTGGATTATTATACAACCACGCCAGCATTAGTGTTTAGCAAGCCAGTGAGAGTCCATTTATCCCAGAAGTATAAAAGAATAAAGAAGCCCAAGGGGAAGCCAGATCAGAAGTTTGATCAAAAGCAAGAGCTTGGACATGTAATACATCTTAGCAATTTGCCCCATTCTGGCTATTCTGATAGTGCTATTCTAAAGCTTGCTGAGCTTTATGGAAAAATAAAAAATTATATATTGATGAGGATGAAGAGTCAGGCCTTCATTGAGATGGAGACAAGAGAAGATGCAATGGCAATGGTTGACCATTGTTTGAAAAAAGCCCTTTGCTTTCAGGGGAGAGATGTATAAAGGTTGACCTTTCTGAAAAATACAAAAAACTGGTACTGAGGATTCCTAACACAGGCATTGACTTACTGAAAAAAGATAAATCCCGAAAAAGGTCTTATTCTCCAGATGGCAAAGAATCTCTAAGTGATAAGAAATCTAAAACTGATGGTTCCAGAAGACTTAAAGTACAACTGAAGGTAAAGAACAAGAAGAAAAGTCAGGTGAAGATGGTGACAAAGATACAAAGGATGACCAGACAGAACAGGAACCCAGTATGCTTCTCGAATCTGAAGATGAGCTGGTTGTAGATGAAGAAGAAGCAGCTGCATTATTAGAAAGTGGCAGTTCAGTGGGAGATGAGACTGATCTTGCTAATTTAGGTGATGTGGCTTCTGATGGGAAAAAAGGAGGCTTCAGATAAAGCTGTGAAAAAAGATGCAACTGCTTCAGCAGCAGCAAAGAAAAAGCTTAAAAAGGTGGACAAGATCAAGGAACTTGATCAAGAAAATGAAGCAGCGTTGGAAAATGGAATTAAAAATGAGGAAAATACAGAACCAGGTGCAGAATCTGCTGAGAATGCTGATAATCCCAACAAAGATACAAGTGAAAATGCAGATGGACAAAGTGATGAAAACAAGGAGGACTATACAATCCCAGATGAGTATAGACTTGGACCACATCAGCCCAATGTTCTTGTTGGTATAGACTATGTGATACCTAAAACAGGGTTTTACTATAAGCTGTGTTCGCTCTGTTATACAAATGAAGAAGTTGCAAAGAAAACTCATTGCAGCAGCCTTCCTCATTATCAGAAATTAAAGAAATTTCTGAATAAATTGGCAGAGGAATGCAGACAAAAGAAGGAAACATAAGATGTCCAAGAAGAGTTAGCCATTTCAAAGAAAATAATGGTTCTTTGTTTTTAATGTTAACCTTTTTTAAATACAATACTGATGTTAGAAGATGACTATTGTACTCTTTTGTTTTAGTGGAGAAATAATAGATGTCTGTTCCTGTGTTAAATGTTATAGCAAGAAAGTAGATATGTGGTTAAGTTAATGAAGAATAGTTTTTCTTTTATCACAATGGCAACAGAAGTACTTCGTAGAAACTGACTTCCTAAGCTATTTAACACAACTTGCACCACTAAGAAAAAGATAAAAGTAGAACATTCAGAAAAGTGAAATTTAGTAGTTCCAAGCTTCAAAGAAATGTTAACGTTTGATTCCATTCAACAAAGAGCAAAACCAGTTGCATTTTTATTACTTTCATCTGAGACATTCCACATATTAATCTGAGCCTTGCAGACTTTTCCGTTGGAGTTTTGAAGCTTTTTTGTTTGCATTTCATTTTTGGAGAATTTAATTAATGTGAGATTGGCAATTCAAATGCAGGTGCAGTTTTCTTTTAATGTCATGCTGTTGTTTAGGTATTAGAAATATTGAGTAATGGCTTTAGATTTTGTAATTATTTCCCTGAGTTCCTGCTAGATTTTGTATTCTAGTAGTTCTATGTATTTTCAGTGAAATCTAAAAATATTCTCATTCTCTCTGACCACTATTAATTTTCTGAGATCTTATTGCTTGTCACTTGAATCCTGTAGTAGTCATACATCTCTGGTATAAGCAACATTTGATTTTTGAAGTGTGTAGACCATCACTTCATATTTTCAAGATGTAATTTACATTCTGCATTTTAAAGACAGTTTGGCCATAATTCTAGATGCACACTTCTGATTCGTACCTGCACGCGTTACCTTCGTGAACAGAAATTTGCATGTATAATCTGTGTTTACTTGTGACTTTCTGGTTATATACTGCTTATATCTGTGGATTCAAGTTACTGAAGTGAATATCAATAAAAAAAAACACAGGCCATGTTCATTGGTTACATATTTGGAATGTTAACCAATATGTTTGTCAGTTGTGATTTTTATTCACTCTTATACTTTTATGCATGCTTTAACATTTTTAAGTCTACAGTAAGTGTATTAAAGACTAGTAAAGATCTGAATTTTAAACTCCCTAGTGGATTTCTTGTTCCTGTTGCATAACTAAAAATGGAGCCATTCATTGTTTTTAAGAACTTCGTGAATTTAAAATGCCAAAAGTTGAAGAAATAGCATTAATGTGTCTATGTATGTCTATTTCTTTAACAGTAAAATTATAAGTAACATGGTAAATAAAAATTAGTTAAAAAAAAAGAAAAGAAAAGGTTCCTGAAAGAGTCCTTCCTTATATCTAGAGTTATCCTCTTTGATAGACACCCTGTACCACCTTGCAGTTGTTCAGCTATTCTGCCAGATTGTAAATTCATTGGTGGTGGAGTGTGTCATTTTTTGTTACTATGGTGTCTTCATTACCTAGGATAGCACTTGTCACTTAAGTATTCCATAAATATTTCTAATGAAAGGGCAATCATTGAATGTTGAATCACCAATTGAATCACTGGTTTGCTGGGAATAGGTGTTTTGCTGTAATACAAGGAAAATATTACTATGAGTGAAAATTTAGAAATATGCCCCAATCCCCATCTTTATTAGTTAGAATATAAAATGAAATAAAGTCTGTAAATAAGCAACTCTTACAGATTCTACACATATGTGAATGTATAAAAATGAGAGCCTTTAAGTTGTCCATAGTCATTACAGACAAATTTACTAAAATATACTTAAAGAAAGTTAAATTATTAGGAAGAAGTAGTTGTGGGGATTATATTTTTGTCTTTTAAAACCACATTCAGGTTTGACTTGGTGCCTATAGCTCAGTGGCTAGGGCAACCACCAAATAGACCGGGGCTGGCAAGTTTAAACCCAGCCTGGGCCTGCAAACAATGATGAAAACTACAACAAAAAAATAGCTGGGCATTGTGGTGGGCACCTGTAGTCTCAGCTATGTGGGAGGCTGAGGCAAGAGAATCACTTAAGCCCAAGAGTTTGAGGTTGCTGTGAGTTGTGACACCTCATCACTCTACTGAGGGCAACACGGCGGTACTCTGTCTCAAAACAAAAACTATATTGAAGTTTGTATGCTTTTTTCAAAATAAAACTATTTTCTCTATTTTCTTCTTCCTGTTCAACATGTCTCTGTTATCAAATTATAATACACAATTTCAAGTAGAATATTTTTTCTTTTTCTTTTTTTTGACAGCTTCTCACTTTGTCACCATCCA